TTTGAATTGATACAATCGTGTTAAAGAATTCCGCCTTCATGGCTTGAAGTTTACTTTTGATAGTTGATAGGTCATTGCTAGGCCCACATGGAATCTGCGCGCGCAGAATTCCGCAGATTTTCCGCAGAATTCCGCAGATTTCTGCAGATTTTTAGCCCGATATTAATTCTGTTTTTTTTAACTTGAGTAAATGTGTAAATCTGAATTTATTCAGTTTTTATTCAGTAAATTATTACTTTTTATTTAATATATTTGGGTTTAGTTATGATACTCCACTGGATACTCCTAAAATAATTCCGCAGAAATCCGCAGATTTTTACCAAAATTCTCTGCAGAAATAGCAAAAAAACGTCCGCAGATTCCGTCTGGCCCTGGTCATTGCCTAGCACGAACCGTAGTTCGGAGCGAAATATTTTTGCCAGATCCTGGCGTATTGATGAAATAATTTCAGTATTAAGAGTTTGAATGTCGCCTGAAGCCGTATCGAGCTCAGTTCGTTGACCCACCGCAGCTATATCATGTTCATCCGAGGATGCGTTGCTGTTGATGTCTGCACGTTAGCCCCTTTATTGCCTTTAGTTTTCATCTTCGTTGTACAGGATTAGTTTAAAATGAACTCTGTTAGGCACAATTATCTGCAGGCACTTGATATTAAGTAAAAAATTTGCATTAATTCAGAAAAATTAGCAAATTCTGCAGAACCTCCTAGCGATCTTGTCTTATTCCATAGATCACCTAACTGGAAGTCCGTGGTTGTCTACTTTAACTTTTTTATATGATCAATTAAATAATATATATATATATATATATATATATATATATATATATATAATATTTATATATATATATATATATATATAATATTTATATATAAATAAATGCAGTATTTTTATTTCAGGTCTGATGGAGGAGAGAAATCAAGATAAACGAGAGAGAAAAACCCAATCATTAAAGACAAAAGACAGAAAATGTTTCACCTGCATTCAGTGTGGAAAGGGTCTGGCAAACAAAGAGAGTCTCAAGAGTCATATGAGGATCCACACTGGAGAGAAACCGTTCACATGTTCTCAGTGTGGAACGAGTCTGGCAAACAAAGAGAGTCTCAGGAATCACATGAGGATCCACACTGGAGAGAAACCATTCACATGTACTCAGTGTGGGAGGAGTTTCAGTCAATCAGGAAACTTAAATAATCACATGTTGATCCACACTGGAGAGAAAACACACAAATGTGAACAGTGCAGCAAAACATTTTTGAGGATTTCAGGGCTGAAGAGCCACCTCACAGTTCATGCAGAGGAGAAGCTTTATTCATGCTCTGTGTGTGGAAAGAGTTATAGTTGTAAATATAATTTTAAAAAGCATGAGAAGATCCACACTAGTGTGAAAGAGTATATGTGCTTTGAGTGTGAGAGAACTTTTTTTACATCTAAAGAATTGAAACAACATGAGAGCATTCACACTGGAGAGAAACCTTACAAGTGTTCACACTGCGGCAAGAGATTCAGACAGTCATCACAATTGAAAATACATGAGATGATTCACACTGGAGAGAAACCTTACACGTGTTCACACTGTGACAAGAGATTCATTACATTAGGGGAGCTGAAAAGACATGAGAGGATTCACACTGGAGAGAAACCTTACAAGTGTTCACACTGCGACAAGAGATTCAGACAGTCATCACAATTGAAAATACATGAGAGGATTCACACTGGAGAGAAACCGTACAAGTGTTCACACTGTGACAAGAGATTCCGTGTGTCAGAAGAACTGAAAATACATGAAAGGATTCACACTGGAGAGAAACCGTACAAGTGTTCACACTGCGACAGGAGATTCAGTCGTTCCGGAATTCTCAGAAAACATGAGAGAAGGACTCATGTTTGAGGTAAACCTTACCTCTGAAATCCAGTCCGGCACCCATTTTGTCAGCTCCCCATTTTCAGATGGTAATGAAAAACATGCTTGCCTATAGCTCGCATATACTCAACAAAAATAATAACAAAACGCTTGTTTTTGCTTGTTTTTCATGAGCTGAGTTTGATAGAAGAAAAAACATGTAGTGTTGCTGGTCCTCCAGGAACGTACTTGAGAAACACTGATCTAAAGATTCTCTACCATTAGCCATCTCCAAAAGAGGTTTACAGAATTTGACAGTACATCCAACTGGCCTCACAACCCAAGACCATTTGTAACCACACCAGCCCAGGACAATCAGTACCTTCTCCACCAAGATCAGGGGTGCTCAAACTCAGTCCTGGAGAGCCAGTACCTTGCAGAGTTTAGCTTTAACTTGCCTCAACACATTATACAGGAAGTTTCTAGAAGGCCTAGTTAAAGGGCCATGAAACCCCCTCGTTTCAGCAGGGTGTTTTCACACCTCTACTTTGGAAAAAGTCAGAAAAGGGGGCGTGTCCAGCTCTGTTTAGGGGGGAGTGTCGGAGGAAGAAAAGAGGCTTGGTGTGGGAGTGTCTATTTTGGAGTCAAAACACACACACACAGAGGACAAAGTGACTGTGTTTACATGGACATCTGTAGTCGAATTATTTGCCAAATTATTAAATGGTGGACTTTTAACTGCAGTTTGGCTCTTTCATTCAGGGAATTCATTCATGCCCCTCGCAACAAACGAGATATTTGATTCAAGGAACTGCTCTAAGCGTGTATTTTTCATGCAATGTTTGATACCGCACGGCGAATGAGAGAAAAAAAACCTCAGCATTTCCCGGAAACTTAGATGCACACGGCAGGTAGGGTCCGAAAGCCGCGTGTGTTATTCCGGTCACTAAATGCGGTTAAAACCCTACACGAGGTTATAGTTTGGTTTTGGTGCTAACTTGTTTACACTCGGTGCAATAGTTTTTTCGATACGAATAAAATACGAACTGAATAAACAAAGAGCACTGGTCGCTCACTTACCAAATCTGTAGAGACAGGACAATCACCAGCAACTAGAGCCGCGTCTTTATTAAGAGGAGAGTACAAGCGAATCCCGATCTCAGCGTTTGCAGATGAGAACAGCTTTTAGGTAAACAATAATCCTCCTTAGACACGTAAGTTATTGTTGTCGCGCGTCGCGTACACTGTTAATCCACACGTGAGTCTGAGCTCTCACAGAGAGAAAATGAAAACGAAACTTAACTGCAACAAACTATAAAAGCAACACTTCACGCTTGTTTTGCCAACACAACGTGGCGTCTATGTCGTGTAAACACTGTGACAGTAATGAATATTAATGAAGTTGCACAATAGAGCGCGCTGATTGGTTTGAACCAAGCCTTACTCATGCATTAATGCAGCACACTGTAAGACGTAATAAGACACACTCTGGCACAGACGTCCAGTCTGCACGCTGGAATACAGGCTATTATGTCATGACCGTGACGCAGCTTCAAAAATTCGTTTCAAACAGGAAGTACGAATTTGCTTGAAATAACGCAAAAACAACCAATTTACACTTTTTAGTGAAATATAGGTGTCCTAATAGTGTTTTTAGCAGTGTGGGACACATATACGACTGTCAACAGCTCAAAACATGTGTTTTGGTGTTTCGTGACCCTTTAAGTAATGGAGGAATTCCCTCAAGGAAAGGGGTGTGCATAACAAAAGGCATTCACACTTAGTGCTACCTGTGGAAAAGTCACACTCTTCACAGTGGTTCAAAAGATGCCTGAAGTTGTATATTTATTGTTTTGATTATGTCTATTTCTGAGAGAATGAGACCATTGTACCAATCGCACTGAGACATTTCAAATGATATCAAACATGATAGATAAAGTCGCTTTGGTTAATCTAGAACATTCAAACATTGAAATGACCATATGTGTGAGTTGGGGTGGTTGAAGCCGAGTTTCAGCAGACTCAGATGCAAATGCAGCAGGAGCTGGTTTTTCCCGCATTCCCACCTGCTGGGTTGTGGAGTCAATTGGCTCTGTTTTCAGCTCATGTTTTGAACTGTCAAAGGGCCAATGGAGGGAATTTTGACACTGTGGTTACACCTCTACTCTTTTCGAGAAGTGGCATGGGACTTTTAATGTCCACAGAGAGTCAGGACCTCAGTTTAACGTCTCTGAAAGATGGCACTCACTGAGAGTATAGTGTCCGGTTCACTATACTCGGGCATTAGGACTCACACAGGCCCCCTGCTGGCCTCACTAACACCCCTTCCACAGCAACCTAGTTTTCCCATGTGGTCTCCCATCCAGGAACTGACCAGGCTCAGCCCTGCTTAGCTTCAGTGAATAACCGGTCTTGGGCTGCAGGGTGACATGGCTGTGGCAGATTATTAATTGAAGCTTTACTTTTCAAAAAATACAGCCAGACTGCTTATTAATTTAATTTTTAAAATTAAAATTGGTGTTGTAACAACATGTTGATGTTTGAGAAAGTTAAATATTTTGCTTTCTTTAACATTTATTTCATGTTTTAGGGTGAATGTTTTTTCTTGTTCAGATTAACCAAGGCTGTGCTAAATATTTTGTCCAGTGCAGATGTTCATTTTATGTAACTAATATGGTCATATTTATTAAATGATATGCTTTATCTGAATTATTGAGTTATATTTATTACATTATATGCCCCATGAATTAAATGGTTTGCCCTTCAAGGCTTATTATCAGATTTAAAGACTTTAAAAGAAAAAGGACGATGATCAAATGAGTTTAATAAACACTGAAAATTTGTTACTGACTTTATATACACAAATAAAAATTTCACATTTAACATTCATTCATTTTTTTTCCGGCTTGGTTCCTTTTTTAATATGGGGTCACCACAGCGGAATGAACCGCCAACTTATCCAGCACATGTTCTACACAGCGGATACCCTTCCAGCTGCAACCCATCACTGGAAAACATCCATACACACTCATTCACACACATATACTACGGACAATTAAGCGTGCCCAGTTCACCTTTAGCGCATGTGTTTGGACTGTGGGGGAAACCGGAGCAGCCGGAGGAAACCCACGCAAATGCAGGGAGAACATGCAAACTCAACACAGAAACGCCAACTGACCCAGCCGAGGCTCAAACAAGAGACTTTCTTGCTGTGAAATAGTTCAGAAAACAAAAAATCTGAACAGCAACTATAGATTGCTATAGTATGGTTAAAAACATTTAGTATTTATTATTTACCGTAGTAATTTGTCATGTGTGGTGTCTGCTGTAAATTATGTAACATTTGTCCTATGATGAGTTGAACTAAAACAAGAAGTTTTATTGAATGTTTGTTAGTGGTAGTTATTATTTATGTATTTATTGTCTGCTTAACGTTGATTCTGAAATAATTAATTTGACTGAAGCTGATTTCCTCCTGGCGCCCGGTGACCGCTGTAAGTCGCTGTTGCTGTGATTGTCCTCTAGATGGCAGTAGTACACAGCACACTGATAGCGGAGGCGCTGGAGGAAAAGCTCAGAACAAGCAACATTAAACTCGTGTTGAAGATGAGAAGAAACAAAGAGGCTACACTTCAGCTTTTATCAACTCTAGAGAGATGATTTAGCGAACACGACACAACTCCTGCCTTTCTTCATTATATCCTGGCTCTTGACTGTCAATTCCTCTGTGAAAGCGATCAGGAATAGCGGACTTTTACCGTGTTCATATGTAAACAGGTAACGTTGTGTTTCTCTCCTTATTTATTAGTTCAGATTCCTACTTTCTCAATATTCAAGTGTTTTTCTCTCGGCTGTGTTCCTCTTCAGTGTCGGTTTTCAGCTTTGTTTTTGCTTGGTTTTGGCCACTAACCTCTTTATTAAAGCTCTCGATGTAAAAGCTTCTCGCGGTAAAAGCACAGGTTATGATTCCTGTTTACTTTCACACATTCTTATACTTCAGGATTTGTCTGATCTTTATTAGCGGCAAATGAAATGCTGTGTTCACTCATTTCACCCTCATGGACAAATACTGTAGTCATTTATAGTAAATACTGTAGTATAAACACAAAACACCAACACTGTACTACATTTACAACAACTATATTACAACACAGCACAGTTTCTGCAGTAAAAACTCATGTTTACTACAGTATGCAGAGCATTTTCTCATTTCACCACAGTTACTGCTGCAGCATTCAGTAACAGTTGTAAATACTATAATAAATAAGTACACTTTATTATAGTATAGTTGAAAACACTTTAGTATTTACTATGAATTGCTGTAGTATTTTTCATGTGCTAGTCATGTAATTCTGTTTAAAAAGTAGAGTTATGTCTAACACATTAAAATAGTTTTATTTTAATTAATTGTGTTTACTAACATGAACAATTAGTAATACATTCATTACGGTATTCATCTTTGTTAACATTATTTAAGTTGAAGTTAGTTGTGTTAAATCTCTGTTCATTATCTAATGTTAACAAGAACAACTTTGGATTTTAATAAAGCATTAGTAAATGTTGAACTATGATTAATAAATGATTTACAGAATTATGCGTTCTTAATTGTAGTAAATACATGAACTACTGGATAATGCATTGTTTTGTGTTAAAAAAGGCTGTAAAATTAATCAGCTAAAAATAAATATTTATTAATGTGCTGTAAAAGTTATTTGTATAATTGCAAGCCATAATTCAGAAAAAATATAAAGACAGCAACTTTCTGGTTCTCATTTATAATAATTTTGAGCAAGAATCAAAGTTTGGTCAGTGTTTTTTATCCATTTTGCACAGTAAAAGATAATGGTATCAGTTAAACAGTTAAAATATATCATGGTTTCCGCTACATTCATTCTTCCATGGCAGGGCGCAACACCAAGATTCATCTCGCCACGGCTACATTACAGCTTCCCATTCAAAACATTCAGTCATTGTTGTTGTTGTTTTTTATTAGCGGATTATATTTGCATCATAATGCATTAAAAGGTAAGTGAATTATAACAGCGCAAACTTTTCAGTAATCGTATAGTGCTGTGCGTTATTTGTTTAAACTTTAAGGTGACGTGCTGACTGACTGACTGACTGATGGTGATTATTAAACTTTATAATTAAACTTTATTTATAGATGAAGGTCTGTGGTTCTGGATACAATGACTTAATCTTGCTGGAGTTTATAGCCGTTTCACTTTACTTCAGGATGCATTAATGCCGCTCAGTAGGTCTATTGGAGAAATTCGTAAATATTTCTAGCAAATCTAATAAATTAGTTGCATAAAATTGATGTCGTGCGACCAGTTTTCACAGCAAAATCTTCACTACATGCGCGGAATTAAGAGGCAATAATGCATTAAGCATCTTTCCACCTAAAAACACCAAATGCGGTGCTCAGGACTGGTTTAAAACAGTTGACATGTCAACTTGCTGCAGTAAACAGGCCGCAATGCCTGCTCTGCCTTCAAGCTCTTCTTATTGGCCCACTGCGCTAGAACAGAACATGAATGGATTGGTTAATATCAGCTTTCAATCGCTTAGTTCTGATGACAGGGTGCTACAGCCGCGTAAATGTAAAGGTCTGGATATGAGAGAACGAAATTAACACGGACAGACTGAGTTTTAGAAACCACCTGAAGTTACAGATAACCCCAGGTGAAAAAATATATAATTAAATGCAATTAAAATACTTAATTAAATTATTAATACTTAATTAAAATACACTTAAATACCCGCAAATACATTTTTAGTACATTTGTTATTTTTGTGTTAAATAAAAGTTTGATGGTTTTACACTATAAATATACTAACTAAAAGTATGTTTATACTTCAGTAGGACTTTAGTACACTTGACAAAAGTATACCAAATACCAGTAATACTTAAATCAATTTTTAGTGTACTACAATAAAGTACACTACAGAAAAAACATCCAAAAAAGTTTTATTAGTGTGTTTTTCAAAAGTGTGCTTTAAATGGTTTAAACATTAGTTGATTTTTAGTACACTGTTTACATACGAATCCTAAGTTTAAAATAAGTTATTATATAAAAAATGTATTAGTAATGTATTGTAGTAGAAGTACATTTTCCCAAACGTTGTACTTAAGTACACTTAATGTGAATGCAATATTATCACTAACACTTAAATAGATTTTGAGTGTGGTAATTTTAAGTTTACATTAAATTGACTTTATTAAAAATCTATTACTAATGTATTGTAGTAGAAGTACATTTCCCCAAAATGACTTTACATTTCATACATGTGCTGTAATGTTGCATCTTATTTATATTTTTGTGTTCTCAGTTTTTGTTCCCTCCCATAAGGTATTTTTGGACTTGTGGTTTATTGCACAAAAAGATTAAAGTGTTTTGATGAAGCACAGATGCTGTTTTCTTTGTACACACAGAATCCCTTCAAAATATATTCTTTAAATAAATGTTTAGTGTGTTAAAAGCACATTTTAGATCAGCTTCATTTTGTCTCATAATAGCACAGTTGAGTACACTTAGATGTACTTAAGTTTATCTTAAAATGTACTTAATACTAATTTTTAGTACATTAAATACAACATTAGTTTGGGAAAATCGAGCACTTTTAATACAGTATTTAGCACACTTTTTTCAATTTGTATATTCTTTTAATATATTACTATTATACTTTAAATTAGTCATAAATATATTTAAATGTTTAAAATTAGGGTTCAAGTGTAATTCTAGTTGTAACTAAATATATATATATATATATATATATATATATATATATATATATATATATATATATATATATATATATAAATAAATAAAGTGTATTTTAAAAATAAGTATATTTACATATTTGAGGAGTGTAGATGCAAAAACCTCTAAATGCCATTTAATATTTTCTTCTAAAATGAGCATTTTTCTCCAACTCCTGTGTGTGGACTCAATGATTTTACTTTTTTAGTGACTAATACGTTCTTTTCATTGCCTTTAAAGTGAAATAACTGAACATAAATATACAAGGCTGAGAAAAATGCTCATTTTACATGGCATTTAGAGGTTTTGGCATCTGTACTCTTCATTTCTTTATTCTAAGAATTTAAAGTCCTAATTTCTAGTTCAAAGTATTTTTATTGTTTATAAAACTGTAATAAAACTTACAGCTTAAATGTGTAAATAAAGCAATTTGACAAAATGGTAGGAAATAGTTTTGGTACATCAAAAAGTGTATTTGTAATAACTATCCAACAAGATTATCCAGCAAAAATTAGTTCTTAATATGTCACTAAAATGTCATATTTATACCTCAATTAATCAGAAAATCAGGTGAATAACTGCTAAAAGGTTCAGTTTTTCAGAAAACGAATAACCCGTTTCAATAAGCTGGCTACAGGCCTGAAAGTGTCATGTTAAAATAATGTTTATTAACTGATAAAGAGAGTTTAATAAAGACTTTCATTCATTTTTCGTACAAATTAAGCATGTCTCATAGTATTATTAAAAGATGGAGCACAGGCTGTAGTTTTTCTGACAAATTGTTTCAACCCAAATTGGAGATGTTACTCTAAGAGATTAGGAGAACTGGCAGGGTCATATACGTTTACATGTAGGTGATTATTTTGCAGTTAGTTTTCAGGGAATATTGTTTACAGACTATATCAGTCTGCTTTAATATTAGACTGACCGTAAAAGCGGTGAAAACACTAGCATAACGGCATTATCATGATGGACTTATTCAGTTGCGAACTTGAGTTTATGTGACTTACACTTATCGTTGGAAAAAGCTCTTTATGTCCACCTCTTCTTGCTACCTCCATCCTCACTTGTGCGAGGCACACACCTCACACATCGGGAAATTCCCCCCGCGCAGTTGTCTTGGCTGTTTGTATCTGAAACTATGATCTGAAAGCAGCCTGTCACATGACAGCAGGGAAAAGCACAGCCAATCACAATGTGTGTGTGGGGCGGTGCGACTCGAAGAGAGAACGTGATTTAACCCTTTCGGCATGTCTAGATTTATACTGACAGCGCGATGTTTTTAAGTGAAATAAATTATTGGTGGGGACATTTCGGTAGTTTGTGGATATTGGTGGGGACGTCCACCCTAAATCTACGCCCCTGCTTAATACTATCTTTTAGTACATTAAGTACAAAATTAGTGTGCGAAAATAGAGCACTTTTTGTACATTACTGAAAAGTGTACTAAGTATACTTAAAGTGCATTTTAGTGCACTTTTCTTTTTTTTACCTGGAATGGCACATCTGATTAGTGATCATGTAATCATTGTCAATCCAACATTTACAGTTTTCGTGGTTAAAGTGGTTAAAGTGGGCTATGACTAAGGCAAGGCAAGGCAAGTTTATTTATATAGCACATTTCATACACAATGGCAATTCAAAGTGCTTTACATAAACAAGAATAAAAGAAACAAGTAAAATAAAAATAAAAACAAATAATAAAAATGCGTCAAAACAAAACATAAAAACAGGTAAAATGTGATATAAAAGAATGAAGAAGAAGAGAAAAACATGATAGTGCAATCTGTCGGACGCAGCACAGTGCTCATTCAGTAAAGGCACAGCTAAACAGATGTGTTTTCAGTCTTGATTTGAATGTGCCTAATGTTGGAGCACATCTGATCATTTCTGGAAGCAGATTCCAGCAGCGAGGGGCATAGTGGCTAAAAGCCGATTCACCCTGCTTTGACTGAACTCTTGGAACTTTTAGTTTATATGATCCTAAAGATCTGAGTGATCTGTTGGGTTTGTATTCAGTGAGCATATCTGTGATGTATTTAGGTCCTAGGCTATTTAGTGATTTATAGACCAGTAATAATACTTTAAAATCTATTCTGAATGTAACTGGCAGCCAGTGTAAAGACCTGAGGACAGGTGTGATGTGCTCTGATTTCCTGGTTCTGGTTAGAATTCTGGCCGCAGCGTTCTGGATGAGCTGCAACTGTCTGACTGTCTTTTTAGGAAGACCAGTGAGGAGTCCATTACAGTAATCCACCCTGCTGCTGATAAAAGCATGAACAAGTTTTTCTAAATCTTCACTAGAAACAAAGCATCTGATTCTCGCAATGTTTTTGAGATGATAGTATGCTGATTTACTGACTGCTTTGACATGACTGTTGAAACTCAGATCTGACTCAAGAGTCACACCAAGATTCTTGACCTTATTTTTTGTCGTTTGACCTTTAGTGCCAAGGTACGCATTCACCTTGAGAACCTCATCTTTGTTTCCAAACACAATCATTTCAGTTTTCTCTTTGTTTAACTGAAGAAAGTTTTGGCACATCCAATTGTTAATTTCATCAATGCATTGGCAGAGGGTGTCAATGGGGCTGTAGTCATTAGGCAGTAAGGCTAGGTAGATCTGAGTGTCATCAGCATAGCTGTGGTAGGAGATTTGATTCTTTCTCATTATTTGGCTTAGAGGTAGCATGTAAAGGTTGAACAGGAGAGGTGCCAGAATTGAGCCTTGTGGGACTCCACATGTCATGGGTGTCCACCTCGACCTATGGTCACCTATACTGACATGGTAACCTCTACCTTCAAGGTAAGATCTAAACCATTTGAGGACCGTGCCAGACAGCCCAACCCAGTTTTCCAGCCTATCCAGAAGTATGCTGTGATTGACAGTGTCAAATGCAGCACTGAGATCCAACAATACCAGCACTGTTATTTTACCTGAATCTGTATTTAGGCGTATATCATTGATTATCTTTATAAGAGCGCTCTCTGTACTGTGATGTGCTCTGAACCCCGATTGAAAATTGTCTAAACACCCCCTGAAGTTTAAGAACTTGTTGGCCTGGTTAAAAACAACTTTTTCAATGATTTTGCCAATGGAAAGGGAGATTTGAGATTGGCCTGTAATTGCTCAATAGGGTGTTATCCAGGTTGCTCTTCTTCAAGAGGGGTTTAACAACTGCAGTTTTAAGTGAGGTTGGAAAAATCCCTGAGAGAAGTGAAGCATTTACCACTTTTAGAAGATCCATTTCTAAACAGGTAAACACTGTTTTGAAGAATGATGTGGGGAGCGTGTCAAGACTGCAGGTTGATGTTTTCATAATTTGCACAATCTCTTCTAAGATTTTGCCGTTAATTGCCATGAAATCAGACATAATGTCTGATTTCTTAAGTTGTGGTTGAGCTTGTTTGATATCGACACAACTTGATTGATTGGATGAGCTGATTGCCTTTCTGATATTATTAATCTTATCAGTGAAGAAATGAGCAAACTCATTACATTTGCTTTCAGAGAGTAGCTTACTGGGAATCCGACTGGGGGGGTTTGTGAGTCTCTCTACTGTTGCAAAGAGTGTGCGAGCATTATTTAAGTTGCTGTTTATAAGGTTTGAAAAGAAAGTCTGTCTAGCAGTGTTTAGTTCCATATTAAAGGCATGAAGACTGTCTTTATAGATATTATAATGGACTACTAGTTTTGTCTTTCTCCACATACGCTCAGCTTTTCTGCACTGTCTTTTCATCATTTGTACTCTCGGTGACCTTGTCCAAGATCCCTTTTGCCTGCCAGTCATCTTCTTGACTTTAACAGGAGCGATGTCATTTATGACATTCTCAATTTTAGAATTGAACAAATCAAGGAGAGAATCAACAGAGTCTGCAGATATACTTGGTGCCAGCGATATGGCCTTCATAAACTGCTCACTGGTGTTCTCATTTATGCATCTCTTTCTGACAGAGACAGATCTGTCTTTAACAGCTGGAGTGATCAATATATCAAAAAAGATACAGAAATGATCAGATAGTGCCACATCCTTAACAACAGTCGATGAAATGTGTAAACCCTTAGTTATAAGTAGATCAAGAGTGTGTCCACGATTGTGTGTGGGTCCTTGAACATGCTGAGTCAGATCAAAAGTGCTAAAAACAGTCATCAGTTCTTTTACAGCATTGATTTCTGGATTATCAATGTGAATATTAAAATCCCCAGCAATACTAAAATAATCAAATTCAGAGGTTACTATTGATAACAGCTCTGTAAAATCCTCAATAAAAGCTGGAGAATATTTTGGAGGTCTGTAGATAACGATCAGTAAGATGCGTGGAGCACCTTTTAGTGCTATACTCAGATATTCAAAAGACAAATAGTCACCAAATGACACTTGTTTACACTCATATACATCTTTAAACAGGGCAGCGATGCCTCCACCTCTCCTATTAGCTCTGCAAACACTCAAAAAGTCAAAGTTTAATAGATAAGTGAGTGTAGATCACCCTCCTGTGGTGACTCTAATTATGGCAAGCATAGCGAGTACATTAAATCATGGCAGTTACAGAAGTATAAATCAGCCAAATGCCGAAAAGAAAATGAATGAATGAATAAAGATCGGTGTATCTTGCTTATGAAATTAAAGGTATAAAAATACACCAAAAGTGATCATGAATGAAAACTTTAGTGGTGGTAACATTTCACTTTCTTAAATAATTAATTTATAAATAAAGTCTTTTTATATTTATTTCAGGCCTGATGGAGGACACACACCGTCATGAGAAAATCATAGAAAATACACACTCACTGAAGAGAAAAGGCAAAAAATGCTTCACCTGCACTCAGTGTGGAATAAGTCTAGCAACCAAACAAACTCTCAGAAATCACATGAGGATCCACACTGGAGAGAAACCATTCACATGCTCTCAGTGTGGGAAGAGTTTCAGAACCTCATCAACCTTTAATGATCACATGATGATCCACGCTGGAAAGAAACCACACAAATGTGATCAGTGCGGGAAAACATTTTTGATGCCTTCAGGGCTGAAGAGACACCTTCGAGTTCATACAGAGGGGAAGCCTTATTCATGCTCTGTGTGTGAAAAGAGTTTCAGACATGAAGTTGGTTTAAGAGATCATCAGAAGATCCACACCGGTGTGAAAGAGTATATGTGCTTTGAGTGTGAGAAGACCTTTCTTACGGCTGAAAAATTGAAATCACATGAAAGGATGCACACTGGAGAGAAACCTTACAAGTGTTCACACTGTGACAAGAGATTCAGTCAGTTAGGAAACCTGCACAGACATAAGAGGATTCACACTGGAGAGAAACCTTACACGTGTTCACATTGTGACAAGAGGTTCAGTCAGTTACAAAGCCTGAAATCACATGAAAGGACTCACACTGGAGAGAAACCTTACAAGTGTTCACACTGTGACAAGAAATTCAGTACATTAGGAAGCCTGCAAACACATGAGAGGATTCACACTGGAGAGAAACCTTACATGTGTTCACACTGTGACAAGAAATTCAGTACATTAGGAAACCTGAAAATACATGAGAGGACTCACACTGGAGAGAAACCTTATACATGTTCACACTGTGACAAGAAATTCAGTACGTTAGAAAACCTGAAAACACATGAGAGAACTCACACTGGGGAGAAACCTTACACATGTTCATGCTGTGACAAGAGATTCAGTACATTAGGAAACCAGAAAACACATGAGAGGACTCACACAGGAGAAAAACCTTACAAGTGTTCACTCTGCGACAAGAGATTCAGACAGTCAGAAAACCTGAAAACACATGAGAGGATTCACACTGGAGAGAAACCTTACACGTGTTCACATTGTGACAAGAGGTTCAGTCAGTTACAAAACCTGAAATCACATGAAAGGACTCACACTAGAGAGAAACCTTACATGTGTTCACACTGTGACAAGAGATTCATTGATTCAAAGAATCTGAAAAAACATGAGAGGATTCACGCTAGAGAGAAGCCTTGTAACCTTGAAGGTGTAAGGTCGCCATAGTCTAACAAAACTGAGTATCTCCTTTGTTTCTCTTTAGATAATCAATCCAGACACCTGTAGTGAAATTAGCTCAGTTTTTGAATATTAATGATCAACAATAACGAGTTATTATTAATTATGAACATTCAGAATTAACTTACACTCCTGAACAAAATCTTAACACCAGGGGAAACATTACAGTAACTCACATTTTGCATGGGTAGATCTCGATCTCTTTCTCTCATTGTGAGAGTTTCTCTGATGCGTGAAAGATGGAGTCTTGAGTGGAGCTTGCGATTCAAATCGGAGGATATGCGAGACGCAACTTCAAACTGAGTTTAATTTGCGGGAAAATGAAGAAACGTGGACTCAGGCGAGTTACGTGGGTACACAAATGTGGTATGCCCCATAATAGACCTTCGTCACAGACCTTTCTCCAAAGTTTTTAGAGGTGTAAGAGCTATTTAACCCCTTTCACAGTGCCCTGACGAGGACGCACTGAGGCGCTGTTTTTTCCACATGTCAATGTTTATGAATAGTTTACACCAAAAAGGACAAGAGTAATCTTGAAAAACTACATCAGTTTAAAGCTACAACCTCTAAGCACCCATTGCAGCTAGATGCTTTTCAATGGAAAGATTTTAAAGAATGTATTTGTTAAACTTGTGTAAGTTTTGCAGTAAACGCTTATTAGATATGGCGTACATAACATGTAATAGCAACACACGCACGCATTCATTGCTGTACATCACGGTTTATTTTGAAAAGTAAGAGTCCACAGAAAAATCATCTCATCAAACACATTTAGTCCACCGACAAAATAGTGTTGAATTATGGATGGTTATTCATTCGTTTATGTCACCGTTTCTGCCGGAGACCTATTGTTTACACTGTTTTACCATGGTACTTATACGCGAAAACAGAATCTTTGGAGTAAAAGACCAGTCGATGTCATAGCTTAAAGTGTTATAGATAAAATGAGACCACAAACTGAATAAAAAGTCCAAGTTATGGTTACTTAAATCTAATCAAATCCGAGTGTTTGATCGTCTGCATGTCTCTAGCTGCGTCCCAAATCGCATACTTATGCACTATTCTACGCCATTTTGTAGTATAAATAGTGTAAGTAGTGCGTTCACACTGAAAACTCTAAAAATAATAAGTGCACTTTAATTACCCGGATGATGCACTCATTCAGCCGCTAAAATGAAGTGTGTAATGATGGACACTTCACGCACTCAACGACCGCAGGTTTGCTTACGTAGCGGAAGGGGCGGAGCTATCGGGCGCACATGTTGGATAACTTTATTTATTTTGGATGATGAAAGCAAAATTCTCCTACGAGAGTGATTATAGCGCCTCCCGATGGTGAATGCGGCAATACTCACGGCAGGTATATTTGATAATTCGGTCGTTTATTTCAATGATTTGGCGTCCGTCAAACGTCATCAGGGAAACGGTTTGAATTTCCGCTTAGTAAAAAAACATTAGTGCTCCATTTGGGACGACACTACATACATATACTATCCTGTTGAGTGTGTAAGTGCATAAGTACATAGTGCATGAGTGCATAGTGTATAGTGTGCCATTTTGGCCGCAGTTTCTGTCATTACTATCGATCAGTCCCTTCCTACTTCCCAGAAGTTTGACTGACAGAGAATTTAGCCAATGGCTGCATGATTTTCATGTTACTGCACACTTTGCTGTTACTGGGTCAGTGAACTGTCAATCATCACATCACCTGCCCCCTGCACAGAGTGCATGCACAGCTGCAAACAGCTCAAGCTAACGGCAAAGCGGCTAGTTTGCAAAAAGTAAACAAAGGAGAATATTTCTGAGGAGAGCTGATACTTACACGACGTGTATGAAGCCTTACTTTCGGTTTTTCTAACGGTGAGTAGCTTATTATACTGTCATTGCTTGTTGTTTACGTCTCAGGTCTTCTGTGTTTAGCCTGCTTGTGCCTAAGGCCCCGTTTACACTAGTGCGTTTTAGTTTTAAAACGGCGTTTTAGAATGAAAACGATCCGCGTCCACACTCGCGTTTTACCCAGCGTTTCTGAACTGCTCTCCGTCCACACCAAAACGCTGAAAACGCACATCACGTGACCACACAGACACACTTTGGCAATCGCTGGAGCCCATCTACCCAGATGAGAGCTGTGCTAGTCGGACTTCTCATCAAGCATCTCCCGCTGGATCTAATCTCACTATATTTATTAAACGGGATATTTCATTCATCTTGTTGTCTTTATCTAACGACACATTCCCTGACTTTGGTCATTGGAATCTATTACTTGTTCTCAGGTAACGTGTTTTGGCTGAGCGCAAAGATAAGTTAATGATTAATGTAACCACGTACATTCTGTATATTGACTGATCGCTTGCCTTTATTTCCTATAATGTATAAACTTTTTGTATGTTATACTTTTATAATGGCCATTATCGATTATTAAAACTGATATTCAGCAAAAGAGAGGGTATGTTTCGTATTTTCACTGAAATTGAAAGAAGGCAGTTGTTATCGGCTCCGTTTTGTTATAAATATGCACACAGTGAAGATGACGCTCATGCAGCACGACGCCACAACATTTCTGCTGTCTGTTTAGTTGTTAATATTAAAATAAAAATAGGCAGTTCCTTATATCAAGTTTACATTTTATTGTTGAGAAAGTGAAACAACGTAGCCAGGGTGATGTGAATGAAGTTATAAAGTACACTGTTCCCTGTGAAGATTGACGCGTGTCCTCGGTATGTTTTCCATATCAAACTGAGAAGAAGAGACTGCAGCCTTGATCAAACTTGCGAAGTCTGAACTTACACGGAGAAGATTCAGGACTGAACTGTGTGTTAGGCTACTTAATATTGAGGAAAAGCCCCAATCAGAGAGGCGAATGTCTGCAGCCCCGCCTCCGTTTTCAGATGTCTCCGTCTTTCCCCATCCACACTGAGACGGTGCAGCTGCGTTTCAGAATGAAAACGGCCTCTCCAGCGTTTTCGAAACGCTCCGTTTTCGGCGCTCGAGAACTCCGGCGTAGTGTGGACGGATGGCGTAACCGTAGCAAAACTTATGCGTTTTCAAACTAAAACGCATTAGTGTAAACGGGGCCTAAAAGTGTAAATGTCTCTCCGGTAGCCATAATCTTTCAGTAATGTTTGGCATTATCATGCAGTTTGTTTGCCATTTATCTGAATGTCTGCTGTTACATCTGTAAGCTAAGCTATCTGTTTAAATTATAATATGAATTCTTCTACTAGTGACTGAGAGCAGAACAACAACTCGTATAAGACTTTTTTGTTGCATATGCACTAGACTTATTTCATACAATGTACTACCTGTGCTCAAATAAATCATTCATGCTGTACGTTTATGCTTATTATTTTACAATAAAAAAAATAGTGGAGTGTGAAAACGTTCAGTGTGTGTGGTCATCAGACTGCTTCTCCACAAACAAGGAGAGAGAGAAAATTTTAAGACATTGTCTCAGAAAAATAATTCCAGAAATTTTGTTTTGCATGATATTGGCATCAAATTCAAAACTCATACTTAGGAGATGAGGGCTTTTGACCTACTTTTCTGTGTTGATCCAGGTCTGTGCAGTGAATTTACTGGTCCAGGCCACCCGTGGCCTCAAATTGCAACCCGGGCTCATTGTGGGAACGTAGCCCCGCGGACGTTTCTGAAGACCGCGATTTACGTCCCAGGAGGTACGTATTAGAGCGGTTTTTGTTTTCGCGGATCCGGGAGAGGCCGATGTGCGTGCTTTTTCGCGTCTCGGGCGACTCTCAGGAGCGCGCGCCGTTCGCGCCGTTCTGTTCTCGCGCGAAAAGCCACCGGATCGGCCGACCCTCCTCTTCCTCCTCCTCCTCCTCCTCCTCCTTCCCTAAACCCAAGCGACGGTTTGCAAAAGCCGTCCAGAAAGAAAAAAAAAAAGCAAAAGCCCTTTTCTTCGATTTCGACCGTGTTTTCGGATCCCGCCGCGTTCTCGCTCTTATTTTTCGGATTCTGTTTTTCATCTTACCTGATTTCCGGAACCGCTGTTCCCCGGACTCGATCCCGGTCGTCGTCCCCGCAGCCGGCTCCTTCTCCGGGGCCTCCGCTCCGCCGACGCAACGCTGTGAGCTAATTGGACAAACTGGTTGCATCGGGAAAGCCCTCCACTCGGAGGCGAGCCGTCAGCTGGCGAGCGCGAAGAGGAGGAGCGGAGCGGAGCGGCGCCACACCGCCCCGCAGCGTTCGCTCGAAAAAAACTAAACGCAGCCTTACGTACCTCCGGCCACGTAAATCGCGGTCTCCAGAAACATCCGCGGGACTACGTTTCCAGAATGAGCTTGGGTTGTCAAATTAAGTCTGTTTTCACTCCAAGATGTAAACAAGAATAGTTTGATAATGTGATGCACGCTGTACATAAAACTGAACTGACTTCACAACACATACATGAACTACAGCTCCAACCTGAAGAACACATAGTGGTAAGTGTCAACATTATCCTCATTTGAACCTTATTGCTGGTCTCTATGGGATAACGATAACTAAAGAAACGGCTGTTTATTGGAGTAACTGATTAGCCGTGGCATGCGCAAATAAGTCATTCACACTGTTAACCATTAACGTATTTCAACATTATTTTTACTATACAAATGGGGTTTATATTTACAGTTGAAGTCAGAATTATTAGCCCACCTTTGAATTTTTTCCCCTTTTCTTAATATTTCCCAAATGATGATTAACAGAGCAAGGAAATGTTCACAGCATGTCTGATAATATATTTTTTTTCTGGAGAAAGTCTTATTTGTTTTATTTCAGCTAGAATAAAAGCAGTTTTTAATTTTTTAAAATCATTTTAGGGTCAAAATCATTAGCCCCTTTAAGCTACACACTAGAAAAAGGTTCCTTGAGGTTCTATAAAAAACCTTGGGTTCTATAAAGAACTTTTAACCCCAAAATGGTTCCATTTAGAACCCTTTGAGTCCAAAGAACCTTTTTGATTAAAATGGTTGTATAATTTTTGATTCATAACATAATTATATAGTAAATATTTTAAAATAATTATAAGTAATAACACAGAGAAGCAAAGCTTTTAGAGTCAGAACCCAATAAAATGAATGCTGTGGTCAAAAACTTAATCAGTGTACAGTATGATGGAATTTTTTTTATGCATGTTTGTACATTAGCATATAACTTATATTTTATATATACTTAATATTTAACATTTTTGACAAATTATGTTGTGAAATAAATGAAAATAACAAGTGTATTTAGACTGCTGTTGAGACGTTCCGGCTAGTCTGCATTAAAACCGCAAGGTGGCAGGCCGAGTGGCAGGCATAATAACCGTCAGGCCACCGGGAAAGGTCCTGGTTCTCCCTATGGCCAGTCCATCCCTGGATATTATTGAAACTTTTTAAAGCCAAACATATTTTAATAATCTATAGATGAAAGATCAGGTGTTAATGTAAGGCTAAATGTATTGTGAAATATTTAACCTTTAAGTATATATATATATATATATATATATATATATATATATATATATAT